ACACACAGCTCCAGCATTCATTACAACCAGGCAATCCCATGGTAGCTGCATGGATCTCAGACTGCCTGGCAGATATCTCGAAATGGATGAAAGAACATGACCTGCAACTCAACCTAGCAAAGAAGCAAAGGGCTTCTGTTGCTACAATACAATTTTAGAACAGCAAGATTTGTCTTCAATTAGCCCAAGAATGCTCACATCACACCTCTCTTTATCTCTTTATGCTGGCAACGAGTTGCAGCTCGCATCAAGTTCAAGACACTGATGCTTGAATACAGAACATCCATGGGCTCTGCACCCTCCTACCTCAACTTAATCTTACAAGTTTACATCCCCTTCCAGATGTCTGTGGTCGGTAATTGAACAGCACCTTGTGGTACCATCACAGAGTGGCACAAAATCACTTTCCAGACTGCTTTTGTTCACTGTTCTTTACTCGTGGAATTATCTTCCTAATTTGATCCAGGGGACTGCAAACGTATCTTATCTGTGAGCACTTAATGGCATCTGAATTCTGCTGACTTCTGATTTCTGCTGTGGCTTCATCTCAAGCGCTATCTATGGGAGTGTCTTTGGAAGATATCTGTGTGGCAGCAAATTAGGCCTCCCTGCACACTGAAATTTTATAATTTAGATATGAATTTGACTCCTGGGGCCTCTGTACACATAGATTTGATCTTAGAGCATGTGTACGCTAAAATCCACGTCATCATTCAGATTTATAAAAACGGTCTTTGACATGGAAAAGTACTTTTGCGCCACTTCAGGTTCTAAGCTGGTGTAAGCACTTTTCCTTGTATGCAGAGTCGGGGTACCGCAGGTACTAAGCAAATAATAAGAAGAAAGAATATATCATAGGCTACTTCTTCCAAATAAAACATACACACTTACAAACTTAAAAACTATTTACTGTATGTATTATGTATACTTTGGCTCCAGATGTTTAAATTAGTTCAGCCATCATCTACAGGCTATAAAATTGCCTTTAATGCAGTGTTTTGCAAAAGGGAGAATGGCAGCATTGGCGTTCCTCGAAGACATTGTTAACTGCGCGATGAGAGATTTGTCAGATTTCTCTGTGAATAACGAAGAATGGCTGATAAGGTACCGATAAGCTCTAATTTACAAGGACACACCACATGCAACCAGGCCATACTTGTGGAGGTACTAGTGTTCTTTGTCCTTGGGTTCCTGGTTACGAGAACATTTCAAAGAGAAATCGGTGACCGATCAGGAATAACCCAGCCGTCAGTGAGTAGAGCTATGTCAGCTGCACAGTAAGGCTTCATCCATTTGTCCATTTGTTACATAAAGTTCCCATACACTGCCAAAGAGCAGCAGCATGTGATGCTTTGTGAGCCAAACATGATTCCCCAACGCCTTAGGTGCAATAGATTGCACTCACTTTGCCATGTGAGCAACTCATTCAAATGAGTATGTGTTTGTTAACAAGAAGAATTCCCATTCAATTAATGTACAGCTCATTTGAAATGATTGTACAGCAATTCTTAATGTTGTTGCAAGATGGACAGGGTCAAAGCATGACTCTTTATTGTGTGCAACTGCAGTGCGGGAAATCGAGGCCGGAGCAGGTAGAGACGGTTATAATATAAGGAAGAGGCTAAATAAGATTATCTTTGTACTTTGCTGCTATTCTACTTTAATTTCCACAGAATAATTATCTCTATACAATCAGGTGACATAGTTTATCTTCTAAATCCATGGCTTCTCACCCCCATAGTGCAGACTGCCAACAGCCGAAGAAGCCCACTGTAACACAGTCCATGTCTGTGCCTGGTCAGTAGTGAAGTGCACTAAAGGGAAGGTGGCAGTGGATACATCAGGTGGAAAACTACTATACAAGCCAGGCAAGGTGTGCCTGATTATCTTGGCCTGTTGTGTTCTGCACAATATCTGCTTGAGCCATGGACTTGAGATACCAGAAGGAGAAATGCAGATGGTAGATCCTTTCCAATACCCGCTGACTAGAACACTGTCACAAAAGTGAACTCAGAAACTAGGGAGAGCTGGATCCAGATACAGAGAGCTTATTGTAGTAATAATAAAATACAAAAACAAACTCAGGAAACCAGGATACCAACGAATGGAAGGAACAAAACTGAGCACACCAACAAGACATCCATACATGGACATGTACAAGACCTAATAAAGAACAAAGGAAACACAATGTCTTATATACCCTGGAGTTAATATGCTAACAAGACACAACTGGGCACAATCAGGGAACTAATCAACCAGATAGCTACAAAAGGCCAACAAAACTATGGCATAAGAAACTGGAAAAGAACACAACCTAAAAATTAAAATAACAAAAACACAAGGTACACAAAACAGGGAAATGTAGGGGCCAGAAAGAGGTATGGTCCTCCACATAGCAGTATACAGCATATGCACCTTCAGCACCATGGACAGCACCATCAGAGGAGGCCATGACTGGGGCTGGGCTATTCAGTGAGAATGGTCAGGACCAGGGATAGCTTCTCCAGCACAGGTGTGCACCTTTTCCCCTCTAAATGGGAGCCTCAGCTGCACACGGTTAGACACAACAAACATCAATCACATAAAAGAGAACAAGAGGTCTCAGTAAGATATCCGCAGGTGAGGTGAGCAGACGCAGAGTGCTGGATGTCCCACTGCCCAGATGTTGAACAAGATCTAACAAAGACAAATGCTTGAGGGCAGATGTTTTAATGGGGACATGCATAGCCCTGATCTCTTTTGCCCTCCTTCCAGAATTTATTGCACCAAGATCCAGTCCAAGAAGGGAGTGATTCCTTAGTTACAGTTTTAAAGGCAGTTCAATTTTGCTCTCACTGAACTCCTGCCTGGTGAATTGTTTGTTCTGACATCCTGAGATGAACTCCCCAAATCCTGCATTTAATGTTTACAGAACATATAACAAATGTACGTCACTGCATTTGTGTGAAGACATAAATTAAAGTAAATTAAGTGGGCTTGTTATCCTTAGAGATATTTCTGTAATGTAAAGATGTCTGCTCCCAGAGACTCTTATCCCCACTGACCCCATCTGGTCACCTGGCTCCTTCGTCTCCGCAGATTCAGCCCAGCCCTGAGTTTCCATAGTCTCCACTGGTTCTGCTCAGCCCTGACTCCCCTTAATCCCAGTAGTTCCAGCTCGGCCTCCTACTCTTATGCAGACTCCATACAGTCTTCCAGCTCTCCTCGGCTCCTTCTTCAGTGGCACTGCCACACTGCTCGTTACACCTTGGGCCTACATGTCTTAAGTGCCATTCTGGGATGTCAAACCCCTTGCTCCACCTCGGCCTATAGCCCAGGACTCCTCCATGGTCAACTGGGTCTCTAGCTGCGCCTTGTCCCTTCTTCCCTCTGGCTCCACCTTGCTCTTCAATCCCACTGGCTCTGCCCCAGCCTGCCAAGCCCCTGTCTCCACCTTGGTCCAGCGGGCCTGCAGTTCCTCCGTGGTTTACTCCATGGCTCCTCCATCCACCACCTCCTCCCTTGCTCTTCATTCCATCGTTTGCTCCCTAGCTCTTTATTCCATCGTCTCCTCCCTGGCTACTCCCTTCATTGTACCATTGTACCTGTATTTAGGGACCTTTGCTGTCCTCCTACCTTTTTTACAGCCTGCACTACACATTGCCAGGCCACAAACTTTGTTTTGTGTGAGAGCCCACTGGACAGGCTCCCAAAAATGCAAAAACCTCTATCTCCACCTACAGGACCAAAATGTTGGCCTTAAGTTAAAATACTTTTTCTTACCAGTTGGAATTCTCAAGTAAAGGATTTGTATGTTAACTGGTGCTCTTTTACTGTATATGCTAATGACATTAATTAGGCAGCATTTAGGGCAGAGATCTGAAACCATTTATCTGCACATAATTTCAAAATCATTTTAAATTTATAGATTTCACAATTTCACACCTGAAAGAGAGGCGCATGCACATTTTTTGTAAGATTTTTTTTTCTGAATTACACATGCAAAATTGAGTAATAATATTAGATTAAATGTAGGATGTTTTCCATGTATGCTCCAGGTTTTCAGGTTTTATCTGTTTGAACAGTAGTCAGTTCATGTTTTGTTGTCAGTCTGTGTTGAACTTGAGGCACATGCTAGCTAAATAGCAGTCACCTGTAGCATGGTGCTGTGGTAGAGAGTTTCCATAGGGTCAGTTACTGACACAGCATTGAGTGAACCTATAAATTAAAACACCTAGGTTGCGCATGTAACCCTGGTTCCCTGAATAGGGCTGCGTAGCCTGCCATTCTCCTTCATTTCTGCTTAATTAATCAAAAGCTCTGAGGAGTGATGGCTTCCTTATGAAACGCTGGTGATGCAGTGCCTCGAGGGGCTGCTTAAGTGGCATCAGTCATTGAATTGCTGTGTTTCTATAAGGACTGCAGACAATCATTGCAATCATTGTGTTTTTCACCTTTTTGGATGGGTTGGGTCACATTTCTTAGACCATATGTCCATCTATCTTTACGTAAAAATTTGCATCAACCACTCTCATTTAAAAGCATTCTTCATCTACACTATCCATTTTTACTGGGCCTCTGCACTTGTTTTTGTCTCTATTAATAATTTCTTAATCCATTAGACACTTCAAACTTCCCAATATATCCTTTGACAGCTTCTTCAGGAAACATACATTGACCCTTGATACTTTCAAGAACAACATTTGTGATTGTGTTCTACTTTGTAGCTGTAATTTAATGTAATTTTTCTCCTTTAGCTGCATCTGACAAACCCACCACCCACTGTATTGGATGGTGCTGGATAAGTTATATTTCAATAAAGTGCAGTCAGAAAAAATGAAAATCAAGCACATCCTGTGTCCTGTGTGGGGATATTCACAAAGCCTCCACTCAAGAAAAACATGGAGAAACACTTTCAAAAATTACAATCCATAAAAAGACGCATGTGTCCATGTATATAAGGCCAAAATAAAGGCATCGCAAAGCTACAGCAATGAGGAAATAAGGAGCATAAGTCTCACCTCATCTTCAGGTTGCCCGGCTGTGGTTGTCCATCATAGATGGAGACAATGTCAAAGTCCTCCTCCAGAGCGAAGGTGTGAAATGACAATTGTATCCTGTTCCGCTCTCCAGTGACTATGATCCACGTACAGTTGGCATAGTTGGGGTAGCCATGAGGAAAGCCAGGACTCTCTATAGTTCCATTGAGACCTTGTACCAAGCCACCACAAGTTTGACCTAAGGACACAAAAATGGGAAGTTAGTGACCTCCATCTGTCATTACATTATTTTACATTTTACATTATATGTTTTTGAAACAGTTCTGCATTTTCAAGCTCTTAAGCTGTAATATTAACTAATAAAATGTATGTACTGAATGCCTTCTCACTCACTTCTCACAATATGGGCCATTCTACAGAATTGGTCCAAAGTCAGAGTTAGAAACTCCTTGAAAAAAATAAATCCCCCCCCCCAAAAAAAAAAAATAAATAAATAAAAAATTGTATGTATGCAAATTGTATAATGTCCAAAGTACACATTTCTAGTAATTGTGCACTTAATTCTCATATTGTATTTTCAGAAAGTTTTGGAATATTTGTCTTCTCCCCAAATTTGTCACTACACTAATAATTTAATTAGAAGGGTTATATTGACCTATTAAGACTTTGCTTACATCTATATTGTAATGTAAATACATATTTTTAATATATTTTATTTAAAAAAATGTCAGAGGTAAATCAATGACAATTAAATTTTTAACAATATTATAGTGTAATTTATGAGATTTGTTGTATGTTGAATCCAATTTTTCTTTGTAAAAGGCAAAAAGTTGATCATACTGATTTCAAAGTCAAGGATTAATTAGTTTGAATATGCATTGTACCAAAAACTATCATAACATCTTAGTTGATAATTCAGTATACTTTATTTTTGACAAAACATCCCAAGTTTCGGTAGTGACTGCACATTTTCGGTAGTAACAGTAATGCTTTGGTAGTGACCACATCACATAACAGAATTTTAACTTGCATACTAAAACACAAAAAAAAATTGCATAACTGTACTAACATTTTGTTATTTCCTTTTTGTCAAAACCGAAACAATAATGACATGTTTTGGTAGTGACAATTTTAAAAAAAAATTGCATAACTGTACTAACATTTTGTTTATTTCCTTTTTGTCAAAACCGAAACAATAATGACATGTTTTGGTAGTGACAATTTTAGATACTTTTAAACCTAGCTCAAAGATGCTAATCAGCACATGATTAGCTAGCACAGTTCTGAACAGTGGTACACATTTAAAAACTAAATGTTATGGAATAACTCCCAATAAAGTGTGCTTAACTGCAGGAAAAAAAAGGTGTTCGGTAATGACGTTTCATTCAAGTTACACACAGATTTTTCAGACTTTTGAACACATTTACCTCAAAATGATGGGGCCTATCTACTCACCATGTAGCTATGATAGAGGGGGGACATATGAATATTTCCAGACCATAAATGTAGGGGTGTAGTTAAAATCAGTCTCAGACAATGGACTAAAACATACACTGTTACATTTTTCCACATGAAAATGCGGGACACATTTTTTTACTTAAAGTTTAATAATTTACAAATAAAATAATCGCATTGTTATGCACAAAATTCAATAATGAATTCAAAAGTAGTGTATTGTGCACTTTTTTCATTTAAAAGTAGTGCTATATCAACAAAAGTACAATAACATTTGGTTTGCAAACACTTTAAACAAATAAGGTGCTTTTTTACAGCAGTATTCCTTTTACATAGTAGCAGTTAAAAT